AGCGCCTCGGGCGTTTTTGGACCTTGGCGTCTTTTGGCACCTAGCGCTTTTTAAATCACTGGTAGAGGCTAAGCGTGGCGAGGGGGGTGGTCCGTTGGTCGGGAACAACGGCGGCGGCCCTTTCTCGCTCAAGCGGGCTGGGAGGCGCACTGCCCTCACGCTGCTCTCGGCTAGGAGGCGCGGCAACTACTAAGGGCTGGAAGGCGCGCTGCTGGAAGGAGATGCTGGCAGTGCTGTCTCCGATGGAGGCGTGGCTGAGGCGATTGTAGAGATGCCGAGGACCGCGGTTAGGAAACAAAGGCTGCTGAGGACCACGACTTCTTCTTTTCTCTGTTTTTTTTTTTATTATGATGATGGCTACGACGAAGTATTGTGAGAAATTACAATGAGAACACCGAGGATCGTTGCTCTGATACCAAATGATAAGACCCCTGGGGTTTTATCGTAGAAGAAGAGGGAAAAAATGGATGATTGCTTCGAGGGGATCGACCTCCTTGATCACTTCGAGGGGATCGGCCTCCTAGGGTTTGTCAAAAGACTAGATAATATTTCATTGATAGGTTAAAAGAAACAGATACATCCCTATTTATAGAATTCCACACAAAATCCACCAGGACTTGGACTCTTGATAATAAATAAATATTAAATAAACCCCTATCCGATTCTTACCAAACTAAAAAAACTCAACAAAACATTATTCAAAAGCTTAGAAAATAAAGGGATCCTAACAACCACTCGTATAGGTCCTTTGTCAGACTAGTGCATACCGCCCATACCGAGTGGTACGCTTTGGTTTATCAATCCTTGCTTGCAAGGATAAAGTTTTGTACATTAATTAACCTTCCCCAAACCCCATATTGCTTGGAACCTCTTGGATCGGATCACCGTCTTGTTCCACTTTTGGAAACTGAAACATCCCCAGATTTTGTTTCAATAATTAGAATAAGCAAATAACCACAGTGTTGACAAAGGGAAGGAATGACAGTAGCATTTTTGACCTGTGGTTACTGGTTACTAGAGCCACATATTATTATCATGTGTTCAAGCTTTTTTGCTGAAATTATATGTTTGAATTTACATGAACAAGTTAATATCCATCTCCTTAAGAGAAATATCTCAATTCTCAGTCTCTAAATTGTTATGCATTTGGATATGAATCTGATGGATCTTCTGCGAAAGGATATAGTTTCCAAGGTCATGATTAAGTTATTTGTACAAATAATCCAAGATGTCTAGTCTTTGCATCATTTGATATAGTTATGTATGTAATAAGAAACACTGAAATATCTATGATTCACTTTTGTGGTTGCATCAAACAAGGAATTGTTTTCCGATTGGCATGGTTGGAATATACCATTCTACAAAGACGTAGGCATGTATCAAGGCAACCATGCCAAACGCTTGGCTAACACATCAACATGGCTGATCAGATATGTTTGATAATTTTTGTGCCAATGACACCAAGTGTTGCTGATTATCTTCAGTTATGATGCACCATTAAAGCAACTTCAACATGGCTGATCAGATATGTTTGATAATTTTTGTGCCAATTACGCCATGTGTTGCTGATTATCTTCAGTTATGATGCACCATTAAAGCAACTTCATATGGAAAAATATATTCAGTTCTTGATTTATACTGAAACATACAGTAATTGTATACCTTCAGTAGTTATTGAAACAACTTTGGCCCTGTTTAGTTTATGTGGCAAGTAGCAACTTACAGTTAGATATATTTTGTACACTTTGTTGGTGATGTCTGTACCCAGCTTCAACATAAGCCTTCATTCGCTCATTCCAATTGGCACCAATTGTGACAGCAACATTCTCTGATGTCTTCTGAAATTCTGAACTCCTAAACTTTTCTGTACAAAAGAAGAAAAACATAAAAAATATGAACTTCATCTGTAAGATAGAATTGTAACAGAAGAATAGGGCAAATTTCTAAGCATATTATTCATGTTTTATCAAAAAAAGGCAGGGACTAGCATTTTCAGAAGATATGAAATCAAAAGAGAAATAAAACAAAGATTAAGCAAGTAAAAATACCAAAAAAAGAGGAACAAGTTAATTAAGCCAGAAAACCTGCACCTAAGAAAAGAGCAACAAGCAATTTTAACATTAGATCTGGGCCTCAACTGAAATGCGCAGTTGCAGACTGCTCAACTTCAGACAATCCACATTTGGTGCAACAAGCAATTTTAACATTTCCCCTGAACTGGTACATGTCATGTGGTACATATAAATCTGGGCCTCAACTGAAATGCGCAGTTGCAGACTGCTCAACTTCAGACAATCCACATTCGGTGTAGACCTCCGCTGGTTTGGGCCTGATAACGGGCTTGAACCATGTGATAAGCCTAGTTCAGTTTTTGCTTTAATCAACTCTGATCTCATAACCCACCCTATTCCATCTCCCTTGTGCTCACCTCCATGACACCGCTCACAGTCTACAACCTAATGCCGTCAATAAGCCTGGTACTACTGTCCTCCTCTGCCACAGACTCCTCCTCCCCTTTCTTTCCACCTCCTCTTGTCCTGTCTTTCCTCCTCATCTTCTCCTCCGCCCTCCCCCTCCTCCCACCCCCATCTTTTCTTGGGACCACAGTGCATGTCGGCATATCGTTTGCCGGCACATGAACACAGACCAGAACAGAGCAAGTCGGTGGTCTGTGCCAGAGCTGAAATATAGAACCTTGGCACCATGGGTATATATATCATGACAAAAAAGCATTTAGAATAAGAAAGGAAGACAAGCAAATAGTAATTTGTCAGCATACTATATAGATATAAAGCATGGCTAGTAAACAGTGACAATAATCTTTTTCAAGCTTTGAGGTGTTTCTAAATACCAGTAATCTGAGACTCTAAATTATAACCCCATCAGGATTTAGAACCCCGAAATTGTACAGGATCAAAACCTCACCCTTCCACAGATCTACTAAATGGTATGCATCTATAAAGATATAAAAGAGTAGGCATACCTATCGATCCATGAAATCCAATAAGAAACCTCTTTCCCACATCAACCAGCTCCTCATATTTTGCAGTTCTGCAAGATTATCTCCTCTTGATCTCATGATTATGTTACAATAAGAAGCACTCATCAAATAAATATAATAAGTTGACACAACGCACTGATCCGAGATTGCTAGTTTTGGAATGAGAACTGAGAAAGACATAAAATTTGTACCAATGGAAGTACTTGCAATGAATTATACAGCATAAAGGCATCCAAATAGATGTACTTATTATGGCAGTTGCAGAAGAAGTAAATTCTTTGTGTTCCTATTAATTCTTTCTCAAAGTACTTAACAAAGGCTTTTGATGCATAAGAAACATCATCATCAAATGGTAACTTTTATTTTATCACATGGTAACTGAAAATTTGCAACATTTCACGTTGATTGTTGCACCAAAACTTAATAAGAAGTAAGAACAATAAATAAAATGACAGTTTACTTGAGACTCCACCAAGTGATATAACAGTAAAAGAACAATCACAATGTCACACCTACTGATTTTATCCATATTATTGAAGTAGGCACCAAAAAAGTGCACGTAAACAAGCAAAATTCCAAAATCAAGCACTTCAGAAGTTAAGGGGGTCTTGAAATGTCAAAAGAATAAAGGGGCATGTGAATCATCACTATCATTATCATTTGACAAATTGATATGAAACATTATCCCCCGTTCAACTTCAAAATAATACACTTTAGTAAATAGATACATTTTGTTTTTAAGAGAATGTTACTCAATCTGATAATAAGTTAGGTATTAATATAGACTAGTATATCAAACAAAGTCAAGAATTCCAGTTTGACAACCAAAGCTTGTTCCCTCTTGTTGTAAATACAATGATTACTCTCTAAATCCAGTGATTTCAAAAGCGTTAGGCGCCAATAGGCGCTAAGGTCCAAAAACGCCTGAGGCACTAGGCGCTTGCCCGAGCGAAGCGAGGCGCTAAAATATAAAAATATATAATATAATTAATAAATATAATTATTTAAATAAAAATATGCTATTAAATTAAGAAAATTAGGTACAAAATCATAATAAATAAATAAATCATAATAGTATATTTTTATTTTTTAAATAAAAATACTATTAAATAAATAAAAATTAATAATATTAAAATAAAAATAATATATTAGTAATCTAATAAATAAAAATACTATTATTAGTATACAATTAGCAGTATACTGTTAATATACTGTCGACAGTATAGTAAGAAGAGTGTGAGAAGACCGAGGCTGCTAAGGCAACGGTAGTAAGCGACAGCCATAACTGGAGCGGGAGCGGGAGCGGAAGCGGCGAGCGACGGCGACAGCGGGAGTGGGAGCGGGAGCTGCGAGCGGCAGTAGCAACAACAGCGGCGAGCGGCAGTAGCAACAACAGCGGCGAGCGGCAGTAGCAACAACAGCGGCGAGCGACGACAGCAGCGACGAGCAGTGATTGTGGCAGCGGCGAGCAATCGGCGAGCAACGATTGTGGCAGCGGCGAGTAGCGATAGTAGCGACGAGCAGCGACAGTTGTAGCGGCAGTAGAGAGCAGCGACAACGGAGAAGAAATCTCGACGGTAAAATCGCGAGTGTTAGGGTTGGGGAAGTCGGGTAAATCACGAAAGGGAGCATGATATCGGTGATTTAGTTGGTTCGATTGAACCAACAAAGGCATCTGAGACCAACCAGACCTAAAAATCTGGTTCGGTCGCCTGGTTTAACCCAGGTGCTCGCCCAAAGCGCTCGACGCCTGGGCTCGGGCGGCGCCTAGGCGGCGCCTCTTTGAAGTGAGGCGCCTGGACTTGAAGCGAGGCGCTCGGGCCTCTCCTCGCCTCGCCCGAGCGCCTAAGCGAGCGCCTGAGCGCCTATTGAAATCACTGTCTAAATCCACTCAATGGCTAGAAGATATATGACAGAAAAAGTGCATACCCTGTCAAGTTTTTAATTACCAAGTTAGACACAAGACAACGTCTCAGTCAGATTGTAATGAGTCATTTAAAAAACAACTATATGTAGTATGATATTAGAGACAATTGAAAGAATTTTGCCTCTCCAGTGACTTAAAATCATAAAGAAAATTATTGTTATAGTAAAATGCTAGGATTTTCTAAAACTAACTATAAGAAGTTGTAGACTAGATTCAACATTATTAATTCAAAATCTCAAGATTTTCAGTTGGACAGACCCATGAACTTTCCCCTGCAGGAACTCATACCCAATGATGGAATCCCACAAAAGCATACCATAATATAGTAAGGTTGGGCCTCCTAATATCAATCCCCTATTTATATAAAAATTGCTTATTTAATTAATGCCTCAAAGAAATGAGCAAATAGACTGTCAAGATAAACATGAGTTGCTTATTTAGCTAAACATTTGTCTTATGAAAAAGTAACTCATTACAGTCATGGAATGCTCTATTATTGGTAGTCTTTTCAATGTCTCATTAGGAAAATGCATCAGCTTCTGCTAGAAAAATGTATATGATGCTCATTGTACTAGAAAAATAAATTTAGCCACAAATGGTCTTAGAACAGATACAGATATGCTTTAAGGTCAGTTTAATTCTTACATGTGTGAAATGAGGAACTCAAAAGTACATTTTTCAACTAAAGGCGAATAAGAAAAGGCATGGATGTTTTTGGTAATGCATATTGCTTAGGAACCAACTTTTCATGAATTTCTTTGACAAGTCATTTGGATATGATGATGAGAAATAGTTTTATTTTTATTTTCTTTGGTAGATATATGGTTTTTTTTCTTTGGCATAAGCACGAAACTAGAAACAAAGTCCAATTAGAATATTGTTTTGCTCCCTAATCTTGTTATCAAGATTATAGAATCTGAGCTTTCATGTCAGTCATTCATTGTTGTGATATAAACTCTCTTACTCATGATTACATTAAACTGATAGATTTATGCAAATGTTGAAAAACTGTCAGACACTAAGAATTCCTATCTTTCTACTATTAAAATCCTATTCTTTTTTGTTAAAACAGGAAATAAAAAACTTATAAAATTGATGTATATCATCCTAATTGTATCTACTAACTAGAATTTTGAAGAATTTGTTGTTAATTCAACAATATGGAACATAAAATATATCTTGTTGCTAATAACAAACAAATAGACACAAAAACATAGAGAAACAGAAAGCATCAGGAGAAATATATTGGTTATTAGGATTCCATTTTTAATGAACATCCTTTTTCTTGAGAATTTTTTGCAAAAGAACAAAATTGATGATGAATTAACAAAAAATTGCAATCTCGTAACAGGTACTGTACCAGTCCCTGGTCGGATTGGTTCTGTACCAGTCCCTTGTTGGACTGGTACTGTATCAGTCCTTGGTAGGACTGGTACATTGTGTCTATACCAAAGAGGAAGAAGCTGTGACACGGAAGGAAGAAGAGGAGGTGGAGAAAGAGATGGAAGAAGGAAGAAGGAAGAGGAAGGAAGAAGAGAACATGGGGGAAGAGGAGGAGGAGGAACAGGAAGAAGAGGAGGCAATCGAGGAAACGGAGTAAGGAGGAAGAGGATGGAAGAAGAGGTCGCAATCGAGGAAGAAGAGGACGCGGTGGGGCAAGAGGAGAAGGAAGAGGAAGAAGAGAATGCGAGCCTAATTGAATCAGATGTACACTTAAAGTTTTTCTTCTTTTAATAGAACAGATCAGACCGCCTGAAATGGAGGCAGTCCACGTCTCGATTCAGGCTCGGATTGGTAAATACCAGTCAGAATGAGCCACATCGGGCGTAGCTGCAATAACTGGAATTAACAAAGGAAACATATGCAGTTGCTAGAAGAAAAGATTCATGATGGTTGATGTGTCCTCACCACCCATAAATGCATGAAATTCTCATGCCACCTTCATTAGTGAATACATTAATGACTGCAATCCCATGCTAAGATACTGACACAAAGGAATGGATCAGAAACTTTTATGGACAAAATGGAGTTAATCTTCAAGCATAGCTCTTGCACTTGAATTTAGGCATTTAATTCATATAATAATATGGTCATCACATACCTCACGAATGGAGGAAGATCATTTTAGTACTAATTTATAAGAATAAGGGTGAAATCCTAGGTTGTTCTAGTTATAGAGCAATAAAGATTATGAGTCACACTATGAAAATTTGGGACAATCATTGGAAGTTGAATAAGATGTGAAACAAATATTTCCAAAAAAACAATTTGATTTTAGGCTTGGAAGATCAATAATTGAAGTTATTTATTTATTAAAACAATTTATGAAAAAGTATAGAGAGAAAGGGAAAGATATGAGTATGGTCTTTATTAATTTAGAGAAGGTTTATGATAGAGTTCATAGAGATTTATAATTGTGGATTGTAAAAAGAAGGATGTATCTACTAATTATATTGATGTTATAAAAGATATATAAGATAGTAATAAAATCACTAGTAGACCTAATGATATAGTGTTAAAAGATATATAGACAAGTTGATTAGTATATACAGAAAAGTTGACAAATAAGAAATTTCCTTAAGTAAAGGGCTTAGGTGTCTTGGATCAATTATTCAACAAGCTGAAGACATCGATTAATATATTATCCATAAGATAAAAATTAAATGGTCCAACTGGAGATGGACATCAGGAGTTTTCTGTGATACATACCTTTTAGATTAAAAAATTCTATAAGACTATTGTTAGACCAATGATATTATGGATCTGAATGTTGGGTAGTTAACAAACCATATATATTGGGGTGGATATGTAGAATTTGTAGGAAAGATAGGAAAAAAATGTTATCTTCGTAAATTGTTAGGTGTGCCTTCGAAGATAAAATGAGGAAGAAGAATCATTTAACATGGTTCAGACATGTGCTAAAGAGACCTATACATACTGTAGTGAGACTGCAGTTAGAAGGTGTGAAATAATTACTATTAGTGGAACAACGAGGTATAGAGGCAGGGGAAAGCTGCCACATCTCATGGACAGTTGCAATGGAAAATGATAATATTATTGCAAACAATACTGTGTCTAAGTAAAAGCTATTTTTTGTGCTTACTTTGTCATGAAGTCTAAAAAGATTCTGGTTATATTTCCACCCAATTCACAGTGAATTTTCTCCAGCTCATACTTCCTTTTCAAAACCTGCAAAGGAGAGATTTTGGAGATACAAAGTCATTAGGGTTTTGTTCTTTCCTTTTTTCTTGTCAGAAACGCGTTGAAGTTGGCAGGTGAACAATAGCATCAAGATCCGCGCGAGCGGCGGAAAACGAATAGAGTGAGATCAAGACGAACCGGATCGTCGGTGGCGCCGCTGACGGCGATGGTGCCAGTCGAGGCCATCGGCAGGACGATCGCAGGACGATCGCACGAGGGCTCCAGCGTCGGCCACCGTCTCTGCGAGGTGCGGTAGAGAGCAGAAGTAGGCGGCGGTTTGTGAGGCGCCCCTTCCCTCCCCTTCCCTCCTCTTTCGCCACGGGCAAATCGTACGGGATCGATGAGCAGGGCGTTTATAGTATCGGAGAATCAGGGTCCGTTTCCCCTTCGCGACGAATACGGGTAATTTATCGAAAAAAATAATTACTAATGAACGTTTAATCAGTTTGCATATTATCATTTACCATCCCTTTTATATTATTTATAACTTTATTTTAAATTTTTAATATTTTTAAATTATCTTTTTATAAATAGATAAAAATATACTTATCTTTTTTTTCTCCACATATTTATAACTGAAACATATAGGTCCATTTACTCTAATATCGTCGGTTATATCAATTAAAATATAAAAATAAAAATTAAAAAGATAATTTTAATATTCAAATTAGTGGTGGTGTACTCAACATCGAATTGTATGACCCATATTTTTCTACCATTGCTAGATACGTCCATTGGGAGCTCGGTAGTTGCTCGTCTACCAGCCTTCTAGAGCCTCCCTCTCCAGTCGACGATAATTGTGGCAAATATAACTCCTTTAACAATGAGCTCCTAATCTCTTCTTTTTCATGTCCATGCTAGAACTAATTGTTAGTCATAGGTGTCCTATAAGCTAATCACATGAGTGATAACATGTGTGACTTGACACACGGTATTTTTGCTTATTATTATTATTTACTATTTTATCACTTTATATTGCATGTTGCATGAATATATTATGATGTCCGTGGATCTATGCAATGGGAATCGAATCGTGATGAGATTACGATAATGAGACAGATTCACCTTTAAACACGGATCCTAAATAATCCTAATCATAGGTTACTCGAGAGGGGCATCAAGATAAATGGACAAATTGGTGTGCTGTATACCCGTCCATATGATAGATGCAGCTGGTCTCATAGATGCTCGTCTAAAGACACTAGGGATATAGTGCTGGTGTTTATTGGAGAATGAGTTCACTGATTAATCCACTCACGAAATGTTGGATGGTTTATGATGCCTTATTGTCAAACAGCGATTCCGTCTTCCCAATAGTGTATATGGTCTTTAGACTTAAGACACCAAGGATGTCCTGTATGAGTACTCTACTCTTTGATACCGAACTTATAGGTCTAAAGATTCCAGATCTAGTACAACCGATCATCGAAAGTAGTAGCCAATTTTACGAGGGCTATTAAGTGTCAATAGATGATCATCCGCTCTCATGTCATGAGAGGAATATCTCATGTGTTCTTGCCCAGATAAATCCCTAACCAGGGTCATTCAGATTGAGAGAGAAAGAGTTCTCTAAGAGAATCCAATTAGAGCGAGACTCAAGTAGAAACTATATAGGCCTAACAATACCATGCCCGGTATACAGTTTCTAGGGTATTAGATGGATAGGGGACTATAGATACATAGTAATTGAGGATAGATAGGTCCAAAAGATTAGATTTTCTTATATCGTTTGGGGACTATGGCGTAATAGCCTAGTACATCTGTAGTTGATAATTCGAGTGAATTATTATAGAGATAATAATTCATTGAGCCAGAATGAGTTATGACAGGTATGACTCATAGCTAGCTCAATATTGGGCCTAGAGGGTCACATATATATGACATGCGTTACGATAAGTAGAGGTTCGGATATGAGATATCCATTAGACCCCTAATCTTATTGGATATCCAATAAGCCCTAAAATTATTGGATCCTATGGATTAGATCCAATAAGAGCTAATGAGAGATTATTGGATAAAGATCTACTAATCTAAGCTTGGATAGTTGGATAGAGATCCAATACCTAATAGGGCAAGATCCATTATGGTTAAGTCGAAGGGGCGCCTCTATAAATAGGAGAGAACTAAACACCCATAGGCTAGAGGTTTTCTTGGTTGCCACCTCCTATTCTCCTCTCCCCTTGTCCCCCTCAGATAGTAGGCTTAGAGATTTTAGGAGCATTTGTTAAATCTTAGATTTTGATGATGAAACCAATTGATAGTATTTATGATTTAATCTGTGTTTTGAGTGACGCATGATGCTTTAATCAAAGAGAGAATTAAAGCAGGAAGAATCATGTTAGGTCGGAGAAAAACATGTCAGAAGATTGGACGTCGCGTTGGAGGATCGGTCGATGTATCGACAAAAGGCTTCGGGCTATGGTTTCGGGCATCTAGCCAAGAAGAGCTGATATTGCGCAAGGATATCAGAGTTGTGGAGGTCAATTGGCTGATTGGACAATAGGTCGCAAGAGAGGATGATGCGCCGAAGAATCGGACGAAGCGTCGATGGATCAGTAACATACCAGACAACATGATTTATGCTTAGTAATAATTGTCTAGATCGAAGTGTGTTTTATGTATGTAGGATTAACTACGATAGCAAAGCATAAAGCAAAATGAAGTCCGGAGTCAAGAACACGATTTTGTTGGGAGTTCGAGAGTTCGTCGGAAGTCTAGACGTTCATTAGAAGTTCTACAGGAACCAACCGAGAAGTCCAAGAGTTCGCCAAAGAAGCTCATTGGAACTCACCAAGAAGATCGTCAAAACTCGCCAAGAAGATCGTCGTGAAGTCCAGGAGCATGCCGGGAGTCCGTTGGAACATTGCCGAGAGATTATCAGAAGTTCACTAGAAGATCGTCGGAAGCTCACTAGAAAGAAACCTAGACTTACAGACTTATTTAGCTTAGTAAATATCTTAAAATTCATAGTTATCACATAATTGAGATTAGAATTGGGCCAACCCAATTAGGGGATAATTGGGCCCAAGTTTAGGTTGTGTTGGGCCAAGAGAAAGGCTCAAATAGTGATCAAACAGGTGAAATCCTCGTGGCACAGTCTCTGAGACTATGTCAAGTGGTGGTACTACCCAAACACACTCTTCTAGGCAGTGGTACCGCCCGTACCCTAAAATTTCAGGGGATTTGAATTTTGGCTCTATTTTTGAAGCCATTTGGGGTCTATAAATACCCAAGCTATTCCTGCATAGAGAAGTAATAAAAGTGAACAAAAACTCTGTGTTTCTATAGTTTAAAACCCTTGTAAAGTATAGAGTCCCTCCTCCTAAAGTTTAGAGACCATTTTAAGAGAGAGTATGAGGGAAGCTTTGTAAAAAGGGTGTGTAGAGGTTCTCTCCTGAGCCTACAAAAGGATAATAGAGTTGTAAGAAGAAGGCTAATCTTTACATATTAAAGGAAGATCATTAGTGGATGCCGATGGCCTCGACGGAAGAGGAATCGGTGGAGTGGATGTAGGTCATGACGACCGAACCACTATAACTCAGTTTGCATTTACTTCTTGCAATTTACATTTACTACAAACTACCCTTCTTTACTTGCTTTACATCCACTACACTCTTTCATATACTTTCAAGTTAACATCTTTCGAAATGGGTTTAATCGCAACGAGATTTTCAAACCAATGTAATTTTTACTACTGCACTTATTCACCCCCCCCTCTTAGTGTCGACTCATTACTAATAGTGTCGTCGCAGCCTTACTATATAGATCACCGCTAAAGAGGAGGATGCTTGACCTTCTTTATCCTCTCCTACAGATCTGCAGGGATTCAGGGATATACGATCTCCCTAGATAACACAACTATCTCACATGTGGTTTTCAGTTTTACAGATTTTATGCACCAATCTTCGCATGACGACGAACACAATTTATAGAAAATTTAGATATTTTTATTTTCTATTCTTCCACTACGCATGTGATGTTGCCCCCCAAGATTTTCCTATACTAATTGCTAGTCATAGGTGTCATACAAGCCAATCATATGAGTGATGACACGTGTGATATGATACATATCTAGTAGGTGTATAAGCAATCACACATCACATGAGTAATCACACTAAATGATAATGGACCACTATCTAATATGATAAGGCCCGAGCTAGTGGGCCTAATCAATCACATCAAGATCTATGTATGTAGCGGTGTATCTCCATGCCCTGTGATCGTTCATCTCGTCCTCGTTAGTAAGCGTCGCTCTTGCTGGGGTAGTGCCCGTAGCGAGCCGGTGGTCCCTTTGCGGGCGAGCACTGCTGTGGGCACCGTTTGCCCTTGCAGGCGCCACTGCAAGTGGCGATCAACCCTACGGGCTGCTCACCCACGAGCGATGCCACCCTTACGAGCGCTATGCCCGTAGGTAGCACATGTCGGTCGTAAGACTGCTACAAGTAGGTCGTCAGCTTGCTGCTGTAGGCACAGTGCCTGCACACAGCAATAATTGCTGTGCTTGTGTTGGCATTGTGTCGCTTGCCTATGGCCGCTACCCTTGTGGCTACTACTGCAAGCAAATACACGTAGTTCAAAACCATTCTTTCACACGAACAACTTGGCAATGATATCACTGTATAGAATTCTAGGGGCGACATTACATGCACAGCGGAAGAATAGAAAACAAAAACCCTAAATTTTCCAATGATGTGTTCGTCATCGTGCGAAGATTGGTACACAAAATTCACAAAATTAAAAACTACATATATGAAATATTATGTTTTACCTAGGGAGATCATATATCCTTGAATCCCTATAGATCTATAGGAGAGGATGAAGGAGGTCAAGTGTCCTCCTCTCTAGCGGTGATCCACACAACAGGGCTATGATGACGCTCCTCCAATCGTTACCCAAATCTCCACACCTGTTATCTAAGGAGGAGAAGGGGAGAGGAGAATAGGAGGTGATAACAAAGAAACCCCTAGCCTATGAGTATTTAGTTTTCTCCTATTTAGAGAGGCCCCCTATCAACTTAACCCTAATAGATCCTATCCTATTGGGTATTGGATCTTCATCCAACAACCCAAGCCTATTAGATTAGCTGATCTTTATCCAATAATCTCTCATTAGCATTTATTGGATCTCATCCATAGGATCCAATAATTCAAGGGCTTATTGAATATCCAATAAGATAGGGGCTCCAACAGATATCTCATATCCGAACTTCTACTCGTCGCAACACCTACCATATGTGTATGACCCTCTAGGCCTAATATCGAGCTGGCCGTGAGACATACCTATCAGAACTCTTTCTGGCTCAGTGAATTACTATCTCCATAATAATTCGCTCGACTCATCGACTACGGATGTACTAGGCCACTACGCC